GTCATAGTTTCAAGGAACGAGGCTCCCATTGTCCGCTGCGCGTCAGTTTCAACAACTGCCACATATAACGCTGCGTGTCCACACTGCCAATGCACTGGTAACACGAAGCGTCCAAGGTCAGAGCGGCGAGGAGAGAGCGCATGCTTGGCCGTCGACGCAAATACGCGCAGACGAAATAAGGGAGCAGAATAACGACATGCATGCTTTCGCATTCACAACTCATAAGAAGTGCTTAGGTGTATACCTCGAGTCTTTTTTGTCTGCAATCTGTGCGTGGTATATCGGTTCCCACGACACCCGAGTTTGTAGCAGGTTCTCGCAAGCTTATCGCACTGTGTAACTCAAATCTTATGCATCTGAATTCTGCGGTACCCGTTTTCATGACGGGGTACAGTAGGATCTCGTTGATATATTTGGCACTAAACACGAGAAAAAAAAAACACTTATGATCCAGGGAAACGTATGATCCGAACTTGACATTTCTAGGCAATAGGGAAAAAATGAAAGACATTTACAATTCTCTGTAATGTCGAATTAAAGCTTGTGTAGAAACTGTGTACCGTTGTGGCATCTAACTTCAGTAGAGTTGCGGGAAAAAGATGATCATAAGCGGTTGATAAAAGAGTCATTAACGATATTAGGTCACGGGAATGCAGTTAATAAGCCGTCGTTTGGGTTGGACAATGAACTGCGGCGTTTTCTTAGGCTGTGAAAAGTTCTGACCTTCAAGGTTTATGTCTGTCGGTTTTCGGGTAGAAGGGACGATGGGTCGTTCTTTCCTTTTTTTTTTTTTTTTTTTTCTTTTTTGTATATGTGTTACTGGGCTTGGGGTTACCAGTGTGTTTGGCGGTCGGGAGGCGAGGGGTCAAAGATAAGTGAAGTGCGTGACGCAGAGTCTGTTGTCCTTGTTGTTTAGTCAAGAGGTTACGTTGGTGGAAAGTGGCATTCTTTGAGGTTCTCACCCTCTCCCCCCTTTTTTCTTTTGTATCGAAGTGCCTATATAACCAGGTTTGGAAAATAAAAATTTCAGCTGTGTTAGAGACTTTTTAGTGTTGTGTCGTTTACCCGCAGTCTCGGGGTTTTTTCAACCAAGTGGAATTTACCTTTAAATTGTGGGACAATTTCCCGGTAAATTCTCCCGCTAAATATAGCAAGCAAACTTCCCGCTAAAAATTGGCAGAAAAATTTAGCGGAAAAAATTGGCGGAGAAATGACCCTGCTACTTCTGTTGGAAAACTTTTCCTGCTAAATTTGACGCAACAAGTTCCTCGCTAAATTTAGTGGAAAAATTTCCCCGCTAAATTCCTGAAACGGTTCTTAACTGTTTCACTGGTCACACTCTCCCACGATGTGTTCAGGTAATGCATAGCATCAAGCATTGTGGGGTTGGCGGGCTCTTCCCTTAGGGACATGCGAGCCAAGAAGCGTCACACGATTCACTTTCTGTAGAGGTGCGTCGCGTTTTTAATGATGCCGGCATCCATAGGCTGCAGGTGACTCTTCGTGCTTGCTGGTTGAGGTTTGGCAGGAACGATGTGTCCTTCAGATGAGCCAAACAGTTATCCAAAAAGAGAAATCCGTTTTCGGTCTTTGCTTCCCAGTTGCCTTCGAGGTACTGCAGAAACTCTTCGAAGAGGCTGCAGGTCATCCAAGCCTTGGTGTTTTGTTTGTACACACGAGGAAGCCGAGCATAGTTTTTCAGGCATGTTGGGTTCTTCCATTTCCTGACCATCCATGGCTTAATCATGTCCGTGCCATCTTCATTGCAGCACAGCAGCACGCTTACTCGCTCCTTGCTGACCTTCCCGCCGTGGCACGACTTCTTTTTGAACTCAGAACTTTTTGAACTCTCGTGGGTTGTGCCTTGTAGAAAAGTCAAAATTTATCGGCGTTATGGATGTCACATGGGGCATAGGCATTTACAATGCCCGAAAGCATTGCAACCCAGTTCTCAATATCCGTTGAATTTGCACTGGCTGCTTCACCGTTCACTTGGCGGTACGAGATGCCACAGCGAACCCGAAATCAGGCCATCCAGGCGTTCGATGCAGTGAAATCTTCGATGTCCATGATGTCCGCAATCTCCATGGCCTTTTCCCGCAGAATGCTTCCGTCGAAGTTCACGCCACACGCCCGTGCTTGCTTAAACCACTTAAGCAGCTCATTCTCTAACTCTCCGTGCACTGCTCCGTGGGCTTGCTTCGTTGCTGCACCGAAGACCAAAGCGTTTTCTTCTACTTCCTTTCGTTTCGACACAACCATGTTGACCGTCAACGCAGGCAGTCCGAGGTCCTTGGCGATGTCAGTTCTCTTCCGTTTAAGGTCCCGGTCAACAACCGCCAGGATGTTAAACTTTTCCCTCAAAGACAAAGCTTTCCGCTTCCGCGACGCCATCGCCGTTTCTCGGGCACAGTACGGAAAAATACAAAACCGTTGCACACCGCAGACCACAGTTCAGGAACAGAAGAATGGCGGATTGTCAAACAAAGAAGTTGTCGGGTTTTTTCATTTACTATCACCCGTACATGGCTCAAGAGTTACTCATAGGGTAGCGTCTATCAGTCTTACAGTCACATAGTCAGTTTAAATGGTGCCTTCAAGCATTTGGTGGAGTAACCGAGAGTGACTCATAGTCACGTGTCTATCATGAAAACGCTCAAAAATCAAGAAGCGAAAACATCGCTTCCCTGTACACAGTTGGTACACGGCATGCACAGCTTGAAGGCAAGAAAAGGTGCTCACTGACCAAAAACGTATGAACCGGTCGTAACTCTATGGGATATTTTTCAAGCCCTGGATTGTGAACGTACGAGACGGAAAATCGTACGAACCGAGGTCGTATCAACAAGGTTCTGTAGTTCGTAGTAAGTTCCCGCATGTTTATTGCACCTCAATTGCCCTGGCGTTTACCGCTAATTTTACAGCGGAGCTGTTAAGGGCTAGGTTCCCCAAGACTGTGTTCGGTACCAAACAAATGTCGACACAAAACTCTGGACAGCCACCGCCATCTACGAGCGACGGCGGCAACCAGACAACCGGCTGTCGGCATCGCTCATAGATGGCGGCAACCTTTCCAGCCTTTCCACTCCAGTTTTCACCATTCTGGTTTTCCACTCTGGTTTTCACCAGAGTGGAAATGCTGGATTTCTCTAGGCGTGGTCCTAGATGTCGTTTTCGAGGTCGTCCTTGAGGTCGTCCTAAATGTTGTCTTTAAGGTCGTCCTTGACATTGTTGTCGAGGTCGTCCTAAAAGTCGTCCTTGAGATCGTCCTAAACGTCCTTGAGGTCGTCCTAGATGTTGTTCCTGCGGTCGTCCTAGGCGTCGTCTTTGAGGTCGTCCTAGGCGTCGTCCTTGAGGTCGTCCTAGACATCCCTGAAGTCGTCCTTGAGGTTGTCCTAGATGTCGTCCTTAAGGTCGTCCCACCATAGTACAGCTTCGCTGGTCTTCCTTCTTTACCAGAGTGGAAAGGCTGAAAGTTTTTGATAAAATTTTGCTGTTGCATCTCGGAAGGTCGTTCGCCCCATATTTTTCATAATTTATCTCTTCACTTTGGGTGGGCATTATTATGGGATTTTATAGTCATATAAAATTCTTATGGCTTAGCATTTGCTCGTTCCTGTATCGCTTGTCAGTGGTGTTGTTTAGGCCTGTCGTGCTTGCACTTCACTTCAACATCGAGACCTCCAGAACCAACGGTGTTCCGCACTTTTATCTGACCCGCCACCACCGCCTCTTCCTCTTTCATGGCAATAGCTGTTATGGGCTCTTCCCACCACTGGAAATGACATCTGTTGTTAATGTTCTGGTTGTTGTCCTTATCGATGATGTGGTTGACATTTAGGGCATTTGTCATGAGGGTTGCGAAATCCTTAAAAAAGGTTGCCCATCGCCTGCGAAAATCAAACCTGGGTCCGCCGCGTGCGAAGCTGAAGTCTTGCCACTGACGTACACTGCAACTAACAAACCACTCTATACTTAGGTTTTTTTTTTGCAGTGCCCAATGCCCACTGCACGCATTCCCTGAAAAAAAAAAAAGCCAGCTTTTTCATTCTGGTGAAGAAGGAAGAGCAGCGTAGCTGTAGCTTCTGTTCTCGGCGGTGGCTTTCCAGGCGAGCGATCTGCTCTTCTTTTGCAAGGGAATCTGAAGCGCCCGACGCAGTTGAACTTTAGGCCATAGCGGCCTCGCAACGGTTGCAAAACCACTCGCGCTGCTGCGCACATCGCCGCTCGTTCCGTTCTTGCTTTTCTTCCTCCCAAGAAATGCCGCGGTCTATGAGCGTCGGCGGCAAGTGGACAACCAGCAAACACAACACTCTTAAAGCCCCTCGATGTGTTTGCGTTTGTCTTGCAAGTAGCGTCAAATGCGCGAGTGCACGAGGCCCATGTCTCGAGCGGCCCTTGGAAGCAAATGGCGGCGCAGCACTGAAATGAGCGGGCCTTGGAAGCGAATGGCGGCGGAGCACCCGCTCATGGCACGTGTCTCGCGCGCTTCCACAACAATGGTTGGCGGTACTTGTAAAAAAACGCTTTTATCAAGGGGCTTTAAACACTCTGGACCACTACCGCCATCTATGAGCGACGGTGGCAACCAGAGTTTTTTGTTGACATTTCTTTGCGGGGGACACGGTTCTGGGGAAACTAGCCTCTAACAGCTACGCTGTAAAAAAGAAAGTATTTGATAACAAAATGTTGTGGTACTGTCAATACCAAGAGCTCATGCCGAAAGATGCGCTTTCACGCGCTCCAGAACAAAAAAACAAACAAAAGGATTCGGAACAAAATGGTCGGGTGTCATTCTTGTTCTAAACGGTTTTGTTTATGTACCACACGATGCGCGAACACGAAGCTGATGCCCAACGACTTGCCGTGACTAAGTCGCAGGTATCGCTAGGACTGTACTGTGGGCAAGCACAGGGCTGCTCAATTTCTGCTTTCCCCTTTAGAATATTTTGTTAATGCAGGCATTGTTACGAGTGCGAGCTTCTGCCACTTGTTCCTAGGTGGCGCTGGCAGTGCTGATGGCGCAGGTGGGCAGCTTTGTGCCGTGCGACAGTGCCGAGCTGTCCCTGGTGGATGCCGTGCTGACGCGCATCGGGGCGGGGGACCAGCAGCTCAAGGGAGTCTCCACCTTCATGGCCGAGATGCTCGAGTCCGCACACATCCTCAGGGTGGGTGCTTTGGACCTCTGGGCGGCAGACGCTCGGGAGGTTGAGAGGGCTGTAACGGGGCAGTGTACAATATTTTCCGTTAAGTATAGCATGGCAGGAGTGGCGTGACGTGGTCACGTAACGCCAATCCTGCTAAGTGTCACGTGACGACGGGTCACGCGACGCACAACTGTGACACATTGAGACAACTGTTGTCATTCCACTGTCGCGTGACGTGGCGTCAAGTGACACGGCTACAGTTAAACCTCGTTTATATGTTTCTCAAGGGGGGGGGGGGGGGGGGGGAATTAGCGCAAAAGCGTACGATCTGCAAAAAACGTAAGGAACGAGAATGCTCTTCGGGAGGCGCTAGAGACGAGACAGGGGGCAACTGTCACGAAACAATTTGTTTTGCTCATACATTTGTGGCTGTGAACTTAAATTGGCTCAGAAAAAGTTTGTGAACATTCATACGTATAAACTAAAAGAAATGTATGAAAAAAAAGTTTTTAAGCATAGGTAGGCATGAGCTCAAATACGTTATTGCAAAGATTCGTCGGTGTGAACTCGATTATGTTCGGAAGAACCTTATAATTTCCACCTGCCGCTCAGGGCAACTGATGCGTGGCCAAGCGACGGAGTCTTGGGCCTGCGGAGGGCTGTTTGCCGACATCCTTGTCCCCATGCACTCGCACGCAACACAGCCACAAAAAAGGTCTTACTGGATGAAAGGCTCGATGGATGTGCAGGAAAGATTGTGGCATGCTAGACGAGTTTTGACTGACTTCTTGACACAGACCCAGAGGATTGTCGGAACCTGCAGTGTACCAGCTGAGTGAAATTCTTGCAGCTTCTTTCACGTGAAAAATCAAGAACCGCACGACGAAGCAGACCAGCAATCGAACAAAAACAATGTGGTATCACGACTTAAAGGGAAGCTAAAGCGGTTTTGTATGTGAGGAAACACACTTAAATCGTTTTTATATGACCTCCAGGATTTGAATATCACAATTATTTTTAGAGCTCAGCTCTTAAGCGCTTGTTTCTGCATTTCGCGGCGTCGCCGTCGCCGTCACCGCCCTGCTAATTTAGCAGGAAATATAATTGGTGTTGAGGTCACGTGATGTCAGTTTTTCCTCTAAATCTAGCGGAGAAACTGAATTCATACATGGGTGACTGGACACAAAGTCACATGACGTCATCTTCCCCACTAAATTTAGCAGGGAAACTGTTGGAGGAAGGGAGGGTATGCAGGAGGAGGAGGGGAGGTTACAGAGGAGGAGGAGGGTACAGAGAAGGAGGAGGGTACAGAGGAGGAGGAAGGCATACTTCCGCCTTTGTACCCTCCCCTCCTCCTCGAGAGCTGCGCTCTAATTTCGCATTACAGAGATTGTAAATTTCTCTATTTCTTTTAATTTGGTGCATGGAGGCTGCAGCAAATAATTTTCAAAGTACCGCCAGAGGCCCTCCTTCCTGGAGTGTGACGTCACAAAAGGAGTTTTCGAAATCTCCGCTCTCGCACATTTTCGGCACCTATCAAAGCTATGCATGCGCACTCTTGATATCTTTAAAAAGGGCAGAAAAAGGCGTCACGACCGATGCCAGGGCAGGAAAATATACCGAGCAAGCTTGCAATTGCATGTGCGGCCTTCGAGCGACACGCGCTCTGCGACCGAAAGATCCTCTTACGACGTAACGACTGGTCAGAGGTTTTCGTGTTTTCTCATGTTTACCGTAAAATACCGAGCCAGCGCCCCCCCCAATATTTGGAGATAGTTCGCCTAGATATAGAGGGGGTCCTTACTCAGATCGGGCCCGAAATTCAAGATGGCGACCACTAAATGGCGGCCAGTAAAAGTGAAAAAAAGATAGCATTATAGCTTGCATTATTCAAAACATTTATTTACAGACACTCCAATCAATATTCAATTTGGAAAACGGAAATTCTGGTATGCACCTCAGTCGCTATCTGAACCACAAAATGATTCCTCTGAATCGGATCTAAAGATGAGGTCTATGCCTTCGGTCCGCAGCTCGTCGGGGTTCTCAGGGACAACGGCACCGATGTCAGACAGCCGTTCATGAAGATCGCCCTCCTCGCTGCACGTCCAGAGTTCCTTTCACTCTCTGAGAACTCGTACAAGGTGTTGTCAATTTCGCTAAAGATATGGGCACTGTTGCTCAATTTGCGTCGTATTTTTGACTTCCCGAAGTTGTGTTGCAGCAAAACTTTGTACTTCATGTCCCTTTCGTGTACCCTCTTACAGTCCAACTTGAAATGGCGAGAGGTCAGGTAGACATTTTTGGCATTCTTCCGAGGTCAATCCACAACTTCGAGTTTCTTTTGCACCGTATACGTATGCTTGGCGAACAAGGGCAACCGTTCCTAACGCTGGCACTAACAAAATGGCGGCGATGGCTGGTGGTGGGTTCTAGCACCCTCTTGGATTAGATTCAATATTGGCTTTGTCTACTGCAACAGCCAAAAAGCTCGAAACAAAGCTAAAAATAGATGCCTTCAGGACAGGCGGCAGTGAGAGGGGGGCGCTTGCTTAGTTGTGTACAGAAATGGGAAATTCCCGGAAGATGTGGGGAGGGCGCTTGCTCGAGTGAGGGCGCATGCTCGGTTTTTTTACGGTAGTTGCATCTTCAGGCAAAACAAACGTGATATTCAGATTCACGGGATAAAAATACGCTAGAACCAACCTCTAATTTTTTGAAAGAGGTGTTTCAGCTTTTCTTTAACAGTGATGTCACGCGACTCGACAAAATGTCAAGAGGTCGCGTGGCCATGCGACCCATGGTGGCTTGAACCATGATCATCACACATCCGTGTCATCATCAGTGGTCGGAATACTGGGACAAAAATATTACTGAAATCGAGACATAATCGGGACAGGAAATGCCAAAGAATCCGCAATCTGTTTTCTGTGATTCTGTTCAAAGCACTTTTATTGACGATATAATATACAATCTGCTTTTCATCACCAAAACACACAGCCATAAAAGCCGTAGATTGCCCAAAACGGGTTCTCCTTTTTTTTGTTTTGAACTAGGTAAGTTCATTCGTCAATATTTTCACCCCAAGCTTCCACCACCGAGCCGCACATCTAGCGAATCCTACCGTGATACATCAATAAACTTGTTTTTGTTGACCGTCTTTCAAAGCATTCGTGTACGTATTGTACATCCTGGTTGAGCGCTGGTGTTCACTTGCAGAACGCCACTGCCGACTCCCTGGTGGTCATCGATGAACTGGGCAGAGGAACGTCCACCTACGACGGATTTGGCCTGGCCTGGGCCATCTCCGAGTGAGTTCCTTCGGTTAGAACTGCATTCTTACGGAAGCTGTCCCAGATTCTGCGTTAGTCTGTGCTGTGTGTGTGGCACGTGATGCTGGGAAGCCTTGGTGTCACGCGATATTGCAGCGTTAAGAACGTTATTGGATCTAGTAATGTTGTGTGCCAAGCTGGGGGTGTATTGTGACGTCATGTCCTGTGACCACTTTGCGTGACGTTGGGTCATGATGTTGTGTGACGGTGCCACGTAATCGCGCATCGTGGCCTTAAAGGGTAACTGCAAAGAAAAAGTTTTTTTTTTAAAGAGCCTAGTTGGGACAAACACATGCAAAACAAATTTTCTGCGAAAAAAAAAAGAAAAAAAAATTTTACATTTATATTTATTGCGGGAGACTAATCTTAGTTTGCGGCTATTTCGTTCGTTTTAAATTCGTTTTAAATTACGTATAATACCAAAATTGGTATTATACGTCACAGAGTAGCTATTATATGTGATGGAGTGATGCACGATAGCAACACTTTTCATTGGCTAAGAGATTGATTGATAGCTTAGATCAGTGGTCTCAAACATGCGGCCCGCGACTCGCTGGGATGCAACCCGCAGGCAACCGGTTCTCAAGTCTTGAGAGCTAGCATGCGCCATCGTGATTTCATATCGCCGATTCATTTTCGCTCGAAAAGTAGTTCCTCTCTTTTAACGTATTCACATAGTTTTTACTTATCAGTGTTCATTTGCCCTTTGTTTCGCTTTATGTTTTGCTTCCCAGCTTTTGTAATGTACAGCAATTCCGCTACTAGGCTGCAGGCATGAGCTCTTTGTTGAAGAATGCTTCTCGGCTGTGCGAACTCTCGATCAGCAGGAGCAACTGCCAAAGATAAAGCTATTAGCTCAGGATTATTGTCTTAAAAAATATCACCATTAAAAACATGTATAGGTGTTGTAATAGAAATCTTCAGGAAAGCAAGAACTGCCAAATTAACTTATTGTTTGAGGCATATTCAGCTTGGTTAATTCCGAAATGAAGTGAGCAACAAGAACAACAGTGTAATTGCTCTCTTGTTCTATTAGATATGGGAGCATGGTAGCGGGGTTGTCTCATTTTAATTATTGTTGTCACAGGTCAGGGCCCAAAGTAGCCAACCGACAGAACAGAGTCTGCAAAAAGCATAGAGCACAAGGTCTCTTAATTCTCTTTCAAATTGTTTGACAATGCCCCCCCCCCCCCCCCCCCCGGTCAACGTTGGCCCTTGGCCTTCCTAGTGTGGGCTATCTGGCCCCCACGCTCAAATGAGTTTGAGACCACTGGCTTAGATCTTGGTTGTTAAACCTTTGTGATGTGTTTTAATTTACTTTTGAGCAGCATATTTTTATGTTTAAAGAATAACCCATGTGATGAGAGTTATTATTCTTTACAAAAGGTTTACAAGACAGGCACTTCCGCTTGGATTCATGCCATAACAAACAAAAGCTTCGCCATTCTTTCATGGCCTCCGAAGTCTCTGCTCCCGCCTGTCTCGCGTACCTTGACTAGTCGTTTTGCCTAAGTGATCAGTGTTTCCTGTTGACCCAGGTGCTTGAGTGAGACTACTTGAAGTGAAGTCGTGTGTGTTTAGCAGCTGTCGCAGGTGTTAGTGATAGGAAGCGACACGGGGTTTTGGCTTTCATAGTATGGTTTGTTACTTTCATTTTCTTGGGGTATCTCTTTGCTTTCGTAGCGCATTTTCCTTGCTTTCTCAGCGTGCTTTTTTTTTGTTATTTGCTTGCGTGTGCAAATGCCGACTTTTTGGACATGTCAGTTCCTGTAAATTGACACCGTTGCTCTGTAAAGTGCTGCCAGATTAGTGATCGTGACAGCGATCACCAGTGGGTGTTGTCCAAGCGCGCCGAAGGCTGAGGTGGTGTGCCATCTTCATCCCTAGCAGCTGTCCTCTGCGGCGCATCTTTGTATGGCCGAAGACCCAGTTGCTCGCAGCGGCAAGAAGCTGACGCTTCCATTCAGGGTCCATTTTGCGTGCAGTTCGCACAGAACACAGAAGCTACAAAAGGCTGTGGTACGCACACAAGATGCTGCATACGTCGTTCAACTCCACAGTCAAGTCAATCCAAGAGAAAATCCAAGAGCGAGGGGTGGGGCATACTTCTCCGCGCGGGGCGAAAGAGTGGGAGTTTCAAATGTGGAGAGGTTGTTACTCTGACTAAATTATGTCCTGTGGCGTAAATAATGCTAAAAAATTGTGTTTTTTTCAAGTAAATTTTGTTTTGTGACATGCTTGTCCCAATTAGCGTGTTTAAAAATACACTTTATTTTCTTTGCAGTTACCCTTTAAGTCTTGGTTTCAAGAGACGAAACCGTGAATTGACACATCACGTGGCACTGACGTTGCACAATTGATCTCGAGGTGCAAAAAGAATGAAGTCACGAAAACCTGCTGTTTTTCATACATTGCCGTTCTGCATAGAACGGTTTTGTGGATATGTCGAAATACAGCTGCCAATTGTTTTTACCAATTAAAAATGAGACGGGCACTCGTTCCCCGTCCGAGTATTTTTCGGGATTGTATTTGTTGAAGAGAGCCTCGCGGATGTATGAGCGTGTCGTGGCCTCCCCGTGCAGGCACCTGAGCAAGGAGGCAGACGCCTACTGCCTGTTTGCCACCCACTTCCACGAGCTGACGGAGCTGGCCCAGGAGCTGCCGTGCGTGCGCAACGTGCATGTCACGGCAGACGTGCGGGAGGACAGCTTCACCCTTCTCTACAAGGTCAAGCCAGGTGAGGGGGCTCCCTTACGTGTTGGCTTGGATTCACTAAAGGAGCTACACTTAGAGAAGGGCTCTCAAGCACTCCTTTCCCGAGGAACAGCTTCCCCCACACAATGGCCGAGGGACTGCTCCCAATCTCGACATTGACGCGAGAAATCAGCGCAGAAGCCTAAAGACTGGCGAGTGCTCGGCCCCTAAGCTATGCCTCAGCGGGTGGCTCAGATCTTTCGAAATGGCACTTCTTCTGGAAGGAACTTGGAGGCAGGGATTGCCGACGGGATTTAAGATCTCGAGGAACCCTGGGTTTCTAAGAACCCAGTTTGAGGACTTACGATTTAGAGCCTGCGTGGCCAGACAGATGTGGGCATAGAGCCACGAAAAAGAAACATTTTAAGTGAAAAGCCACCAAAAATAAACGCTTGGAGCAACAACATTTTCGGATGCCTGTGTTGTCCTGTACATTGCCATGCATGTCACCGAGCGAGTGCATGGATGGCCGAATGGTTACCGTGCTTGGCTTTTGTGCAGAGCACCCAGGTTCGACTCCTGGGAGGGGTGCATTTTTATTTATTCTTTCAATTTAGCGTTCTTGTAAGTTCGAGAACCTTGTTGTCTGATCAAGGTACAAATGTTCTACATGTCGAACATTTTGACGTTCGAGAGACCCACATGGGTACATGAGGGACTCCGCATGGCGAGCCGAAGTCAGTCTTGCCCCAACGCTTGGTACTGCTGTCACACCGCCATTGACGCATGCAACGCTAGCCTTTTTCTATTTTGTTTTGGGCACAATTTCGCCCCATTAAACCTTTAGTTTGCGTCAGTTTTCGTCACCTCATCAATTGTCATTCGTGACAATATTTAGTTGTCTTATGCCAGCATTACATTTAGGCAACGTTAGATCGGATTGCTACTAGTTTGAAAGGACGTAAGAAGTAAATTCACCTGACTGCCTCAAGGTTTTTCTATGAATGTTCAACCAGTTCAACGCCTGTTTCATAAGTTGTGGCGAATAACGAGTAATACAGGTACCGTAAAATACCGGGAAAGCGCCCACTCAAAATTTATAGATAATCGAGAAAAATTGGGGATGGGCGCTTGTGTGGTCATCAATTTTACATATCAATGTATTGTGCATATTTTTCAGATCTTACAAATTTGGGAATTGGTGCTTGTGTGAAATGGGCAGATGCGCAGTATTGTACGGTAGTACCTTGAGTATAGCACTGAGAAGGAAGAAGTATATTTACGGCATAAGAGAAATCTGCAAGGTTTTCAGTAAAATCTTTAGCACATTTCGCTATCTTTTTTAGATGAATCCACAGAAACCTAATTCGAAACTGCGGAATCTGATCTCTGTGTGTGAAATTCAGACTTTCATATTAAATTCGAAACTTTCAAACTTTTCGAACCTATAACTCGAAGAAATTCAAAATCTTTTCATTTTCTTATCTCGAATCTTAAAGAAATTCAAAATGTTTGAGTTTTTCTAACATTTGTCGGAAGGTTAGGAACCTTCAAACTCAAACTTTCAGAAACCTTGACATTTTTCAAATTTTTCTAACTCGAACCTCGACAAGGTTCTAAAGTTGGTAACCTTTAGAATTCAAACCTTGGCAAGGATAGAAATTTTCAAAGGTTTAGGAGGTTTGTGACATCCCTACTTGTTGAGGCTCCAAGTCATCAAGTTTCGTTATTGCACGGCGCTCCTCGCTGAGCATTTAGACTTCGGCTCACTTTACCGACCCTTTTTGCTCGGTGCTAGCTGTTCATGATGTCATAGATCTTGTACAACTGTCGAGAATCCTAGGTTTCAGCACTGAACTGTTCATTACCTTATTGAACTCATGTTTATCCGAGACAAGGTTTATTTATGCTACTTTTACGCCGCATGCCGTGGCATTTTTGGGCAGACGCTGAGACGTTACGGCGGCCCCCACGTCCTTGCTACCAGAACTGCTCTGTCCTTTAGTGAGGCATGGGGGAAGCCAAATCGAGTTTTTGCCCGACACCGAGTTGAACCTTCAACATACTCCGACTGCAGCTATTTGTTTACCTTGGCGGGATGTTCACAAATTTCCCTCAGAGTTATGTGTTTACTGCATAGTTCCTTGCTTGTTAAGTTGGTTTGAATAATCTCTTGTGTAATGATGCCATTTTTTTTTGTCTTTCTTGTTCTCATCAGTGTTTTTCTAATTTTATAATAAGTACTGTGAAGAGGTCCTGAAGGTAATAAAGTGAAATGAAATGAAAATCTCAATTTTCTCTATTGCGCTCGCAGGTGTCTGCAACAAGAGCTTTGGTGTGGAAGTGGCAGAACTCACACATTTCCCAGAGCATGTCATAAAGGTAGGCCCCAAACTGTGGGTTATATCTGTGTGTGTGTTTTAGAGATCTGGCGCTGCAGTTTCTGTTTCATCTGCGCCTGCACCATTCTCCCGCATGTTCGCATCCCTGCACCAAGCACCCATTTTTTTTTATTGCGATGGGAAAATTAAAAAAAAAAAAAAAAATCAGATTATGCATTTACGTAGCATAGTGTTTGATTCAAACTTAGGATTGAATGCTAGAACTATTTTTGATGCTATTTGCATCTCCAGCTCATTGCTTGCCCTTTCGCGGCGGAAGCAGGAACTGCTCTAACAACGGTCCCCCGGTTCAACTGCTCAGCAGGCTCAACGGAACTGCTCATGATCATAGCTCGCCAACAGCCAGTGCTGAATGCAAACAACTCTACAAGCGACACTATCCACTGTCCCAAAGGGGTGCTTTGAACCTTTCTGCTCCACCAGTGCTTCAATGCTAACGATTGTGATGCAGTGAACAGATGTGCAAGCGTGTAGATTTCCTTCTAACTGGAAAGGCTAAAATTGACAAAACGACAGCTTGAAAAATTAAAGAAAATAAATGTCTCGGCAAGTTTTGTAACTAAGAAAAAAATGCTTTTCACAGCATTTGACCTGGGGATTAGTGACAAATTTGGAAGTTTAGCCTGTCGTCGGAGGTCGAGACTTTGAGTGAACCCCATTATGCTTTATGTACTCGTATTGTCCGTTTGGTGTCATCTTGTCATCTTAGCTGGCTTGTTAATAAAAACGAAATGCCGCTCTTGGCACTCCTGATAATCTGACAGCTTTGGATTGCCATAGATGTTTGTAAGTTTTAGATTAGGTAATAAGCAATAGATAATATTGAACCTTGAAAAATTATGCATTGGGATATCTCAATTTTATTATATTGTGGTAATATAAGGCTCACAATGAATTCCTTATTTACAAAAATATTTAATTTAACACTACTGCTAAATCCCTCTAGGACGCCGTCCCCTGAGAGATTGCCCATCCCGTTTTTCTGGCTAAATACTCGTAACATGAAAATTCTGAAACACCGCCCCCTTTCCCTCTCCCTTGATTCCCGTCGGTTGTCACGCAATGTCCGACAGGAATCGCATCAACCGCGCGATCTGCGGTACCGGTACATTTGAGAAGCGAGTTCATCGAGGCTCCCCGCATTTTTGTCCACGATCTGCGCATGTAATATCGGCTCCCATAGAGCACATGAGCGGTGAAAATGGGCGCCGTGCGGTGGTGCATGACGCCAGGTGGTGCACGTCGCACCACCTGGCGATATGCAACAATATTTGTGGATTCCAGACGCATGCACTCAAAAGCCCGTCGCATGACGCACATAGTTGCTGGGCCTACATTGGCATTGAACATAGAGCGACTGGCAGTACTTCACTCTAAACTGCACTATTTAGGCCCAAAACGTAAATTAAAGTACCGCATCCAGAATGAAAATAAAACGTAAAACCAGCGTGCATTTTTGTGCCACCACAATATTAGTATTAAAGTAATAATATTGAAGAAAACATTATTGCAAAACATATGTTCACAGCACCAGCAATGCCATGCTTGTTTTTCCTTTCTACTAATCAAGCTTAAATAAAAAAGAACTATTGAAATTGTTTTAATTAATATTTTTGCAGTCTGTATAAACATTAATTTAAACATTCAATTGCAACGTGTATGACTTCGCTGAGACGACAGGAGGTGCATGGTGGGTCAGTCCTGAAGAAAACATACTGTAGAACGCACACAGGCCCCTGAATGCCTCTATGAAGTTCTAGACATGGAGGCACAGATTGAACAGAAAAGGCAACAAATCACTTGTATGAGATGTGACTAGTTTTCATGAGACACTTGGTGCTTTCGTTGGAAAGTACAAGATGTTTTAATGATTTTATGCCAAGAAAGTCGCACCAAAAGTAATAATTATTAGGTGTTATGACCGTGACATCGAAGTGAGCAGGGGGGGCGTTCATTAGGGATTTTATGCATGCGGGAATGAAAAAGCTGACTTCTTTTTTTCTGGAACAAAACCGTGAAACTGGGGAAAAGACGAGTGACAACACCACACAGTCTCAAAACCGTGAAACTGGGGAAAAGACGAGTGACAACACCACACAGTCTCAAATGCAGCTCGTTTGCACCCTAATTTTTTGTTAGCAAACTTCTGTTTACCTAGGTCGACATGTTAATTTGAAAGATGAACACACTCAGTAAAGCGCTTGAAAATGTAATACAAACATACACAGCACATGTTCTAACATTTGTTTGTTTTTGCAACATTGACTTTTGACTGCTCTGACATAACATGGCTGAATAACATCCCTGCTAACGAACATTAATTTTTCAGGATGCCAGACAAGTTTTGGCACAGCTGGAAGGAACAGCTCGTCTTGAAGACTCACTCCCCATGGATACTCAGTAGCTGCCTTAGGTGTTTTCCACGCTCCAGATTTTTCTGTATTGTATTTCATGATGGTCTTGTATTTTTGTCAGCTCTTTTATAATAAAATGCTTGAAATTGGGTAGAGACGTTTCAGTCACGAAAGGTTGCACAGTGCAAACACTGAATGACCAGAACTGGTGGAGTTATTGCCGTGCCAAATTGCTATGATGCCCACTCTGCTATCTGTTGGCAAAATGCAGGTAATTTGTGCCAGTCTTTTGCCTAATTTTTTTTCCCCCTTTCTCAAGAACAAAACTAATATTTTGGGTCTGAAACGTTTCCAGGTTGTTATAGTGGGCATGCTTGAGTGTTTGGAACTTGTGAAAAACCAGACAGCATTTTGTCTGCTTTGCCCAGACTGCCAAACAAAGCCGAAAAAAGACATTATTTTTGCACACATTAATTCTTACTTCCTGTTCTGGAGCAAAACTGAAAAAATAAAATATTCAGGTTTTCGGTTCAAAGAAGACTTGGGGAGCGTGGAATGTAGTATGGGGCAAAAAAAAGTGACCTATGATAGGTGTGTTAAAACCCATTTGCTTGGTATCAATGCTTGGAATCGTCAACTTTCCGCAAGGACCGCCGTGTTCGGCCCTCTTCGGCAGATAAACCGCGCTCCAACACAACGATCTTCGCAGTGGGTGGCTAACACATTGCATTGCGTAACTCTTGGTTCTTCGTACAGGTGAGCGATATTTCTGCTTTATATCTTTGTGCATCAGTGTACTAGGTTCTGCCACTGAGGGCAATTGTTCGCATTTCTTGAGCAAGTTTTCATGTTGGGGGAAGATTCAAATGGCAAAAGCCCTAGGTGACGCCTGTTTAGTTTGTGATGATGCGTTGCCAGATGATAAGGCTTTTTTAACATCTGTTGAATGGAAATTCTCTTATCACCTTGGAGTATGCTCAGGGGTTTAGGGACCAATAAGTCGATGAAAAGGTGACTCTTTCCATAAGAATTGCCGATGCCCGACGTGTAAAAGTGCAAAAGAGAAGTACGGCCAAAGAAACAAGGTGGTCTTTGTATAGCAACTATGCTTCTCAGCATAAGTGCTAAGCTAGACAGCCTCCTCAGAGTTGGAGACCATTGATGGCATTGCACAATCCATTCAAATGATGTCCCAAAAATACACAGCTATTGGAAGAGGTCAGAAAACATGGCAGTGAAATCGTTAACCTAAAACAATTGCGTGGAATGCATGAAAAAGATGGACCACAGAAAACAACTGGAAGCATTGACATACAACTTGAAGGATCTCGAATGATGCAGCAGGTGCCTCTACGTTGAGATTCACGATGTCCCCACCCCAGACGTTGAAAACGTAATGATGACAGTAAGTGAGGTAGTGCAAAGGCTTGATTTACCAGCACTCCAAACAAATGACGTACCGTAGTAACTCTTCACACACTACCGTCAGTGGTTCTGAATCATTATGGTTCGTAAACCGGCAGAGTGACGGAGGATCCCATTCGTAGTGGGTCTAGCACTTTTCGGTGTAAAGCGTTTTGCTGTACGGATTTCGGTGCGGACTTTTTGGTGCACAGACATTTCAGTGTACGGACTTTTTGCTGCAAAGACTTTTCGGTGCGCAGATATTTCGGTGCACAAACATTTTGATGCATGGACATTCGACGCTAAGGTTTGCTCGCCGGTATCTCTTTTCCAACGTACGCAGACACGCTTCACATCGTGTTTGCGCGTTGAGTTGATAGAGATAGTCTCCTCTATGAGGTTTTGGCTTTATTATTGGTCCTGCGTGTAGGAAAGGGCCCAAACAGCAAGACGTTTGAAGTTGTTTGTGTATTCAGAACAATTTTGAGTATCTTCAAATGCGCCTTCTCCGCGTAATCGCATAGCTCCGACTGTTAATAATAAATTGTGATGACCTCGCACGACAAAAAAACAATGTAATTATCACTTGTAACTCATTAGGGAATAAAGTAGGTGTGTACGGGTACAAAATAAGTGTAATCAATTAAATCAAATATCAATTTGAATCAAGTAAAAAAGCCGAATTTGGTGTATGCTAAATCTATTTTATTTGGTATCAAACGTTTGCTCATTCTCGTACGAAAAAAAACAAAAAAACTGACCATATATCATACACAGCGTATGATCTGTGGTCAACGTCTCCTTCCATGCCGTAATGATGTCGCCGGACGTAAAGAACTGCCTTACTACGCTTATTTAGTGGCACTAGACCAGCTCATATAGTGGCTCTAGAATGGTCTATACAGGGCGATTTTTTTTCACGACTAGACATTTTTCTCAAAAAGACGTCAGAGTTACGCAATTGCGGTTTGTGCCTTATCTGTAGTCATCAAAAACACCAAACCATTACGTGAAGTGGTTCACGACGTCCTAAAAAGCCTAATTTGGACGCGAATCGTGTTACCGCAATCTTTTCGGCCGCCGCACTCCTCGCCCCTTCTACAGTGGCGTGGCATGATTTGTCGCTTTGGCTTCATGGCGTTGGGCTGTGCCACGCGGAGATGGAGCCCACATAAAATCAGAACTATATTTTCACGCCCAAATTAGGAGGACGCCGTATCAGGACGCCGTATAATAGTGTACGCGCGTTACATCTTTTTAAGAATGGACGGTTTGGTGGCTTGCGATTATGGCCAACAACTTTCTAAATACACGATGCCGTTTTCTTTTCTAATTAAAAGGTTAATTAGCGAATTTTAGGCAATCGGTCGGTTTTAGTTGCGTTCTTTCTTGAACCTAATCCTTGCTTGGCCGTATAGCTCACCTACACAAACCGCAATAGCGCTAATTTTCACGTGATAATTTGGTGGCTTTCGATTATGCCCAACAACTTTATAAATCAATTATCCCGTTTTCTTTTATAATCAAATAGTTCATTAACAAATGTTAGGTAATCAGTCGGTTTTTGTTGCGTTCTTTCTTGAACCCAATCTTCACCTGGTCGTATAGCTCACATCTACAAAACGTTAATTTGCATGTTTTTTCTAATATCTAGTAGGTGAAAAAAAAAAAAAAACACAAAGGAAAACAACGTTGTATATAAAACAGAGGGCAGTTTTTTTCTGATATAAATAAAGCGTGGGCCACACGTCTTGCATGCATCTTTTTTTCTTTTTTCCGGCCTATAAGAACAAATCCCGGGAAATTCGAAATTGAGTTTATGATGGAGCGGGCGCTTTATCACGGGGTATTTTGTGATGTTTCATAAGCTGTATTACAGGTCAGAAGGAAGCCACGCGAGCCATATCACGCTGCAAACAGCTAATTCGGGTGCTTCTCAAGGAGCTATAGAACTTTGCAATTGACATTTCGGTTCTTAATGCATTTAAAAAAATTTTGGTACTTAGTCCTAAACATTTAATTTATTCGGCATAATTAAAAATACTGCAACTCTCGCAAGACGTCTACCCAAAACATAAAGTTGGTTTCATTGGCGTAAAGTGGCTGCGCTCTAATTTCGCGTTACAGAGATTTGTAAGCGTTTTTCATTTTTATGCTTAGTCTTTAAAGATTCGTGAAAAGCATTCGCGACCTTATCTGTCAAGCCGCGTACGCGGACAGCGCTGCCTCCTCGGCAAGTTGTTCCCTCATCAAAGACGACAATGAATAAAAGGTACGATAAAAATCTTAATGCCTGAAGAAAGCTCAAGTTTAAAATAATTCTAAGAGTGTCAGTTGACTTTATTCCTACTATATTCATATTTCAACACTCGTCGCAGGCAGCATGAAAGGAAGCACTGCACTCATGTTGCAAACCAGTGCCCAGTTAACGGTCCTACACTCAAACACGCATCACCACCCGACCTGTTTGAAAAATAAATAATTTCCAGTACTTTTGGTAGAAAAGGCGAATTTTCTACTGAGCGTGATATTTTGTGGACCCAAAAGTCCTGTAGCCGAGATCGGTAGTTCATAGCTTCAGGGAGACGAAGAACGACGGATGCATTATTTCCCGCGGAAGTACTGTTTTGATGTTGAAATCAACATAAAATTGTATTTGCACAAATTGGTGGCACGATACCGAACTTGCTTGATTACTTTTCTTTTAGGGACAACATAACCAGGCATAATCTACAGATATTGCAGAATTTATTTTAATTGGAGTACAGCGCAAAAGACAAGTATGGACATAAAGAACACAATAGAGCTCTGCATTTCTAGTGCATTTCTTTCTGTACTGGTGGACAGTTAGTACGCATGACATATATATATTCAAGAATTGCCAAATCGTTTAAGCCTACCCCTTTTTATAGTTTTTTTTCATAGATGAATTGTTGCGAATCCTGGCTGTGTTCGGGTAAAGATCTCGCACGTGTTCAAGGACACATTTCGGCATGATTTCCCGCTTGGTGACGACGTTGAGCTGGCCGCTGTTCCGTTTCTTTTCTAAGTAGGCGGGGAACGCCAGACACCTAAATTAGCCAAGCAGCCCCAAAACTTGGGGTAGTATACCTTCCGAACTCCTGGGTTTTTTGTAGATGGTCGCTGGCCTTCGCCCACCTTGACAGAGCCCCGAACAATTATGATGCAAGGGCTGCAGAGGCTATCTGGGCATTCCATTTCTTAATCAGCGAACAAATGGGAACAGAAGAGAATGAAAACTTTGTAGTACCTGCTGTCTTTTAATAAGTGGCATAATATGGGGGCTACTATTGCTAGTTGCACTATTTTACTTGAAGAAAATTGTGGTTTTGCGGTTCAATCTCTGTGTTTCCCGTTCTCTTTGCTGATACGCAAGATATTTGTCGGCTGTAGAGTTTTCAGTTACATTTGTTGACAGAAACTAAATGCACGTTTGGCCACGAAGCAATTTTTTTTTTCAATTTTTTTTTCAAATATACCATTAAACCGTTTCACTTTTTATGGAAGTTTGTTTTTACTCTTCTTAGTAGCCTCAATGAGGCGGCCGTCACTCTAGAAAACACCTGTAGTACGAACCTATATATTATGCCCCAGAAATGGTCCGACTGTGTCCCTCTGACTGCAATATCTTTGACA